GCCTTTCTGCTCCTATAATGCTGCTTGGCCTGCTGTGTTCATCCAGTCCTGCACCTTGTTGTCTCAGATTCTCCAGCATCTGCAGTTCCTACTATCTTTGACTCAATGATATTTAGCTTCCCAGTAAGATGGGGATAGAATCAAGCAAGAGGTTCATCACGAGCAAGGAGTAGGCCGCAAGTAAGGCAAGTTTGTTCAGAAGCAGCAAGGAAGCCTTCTTAGCTTCACGTAAAAAAAGCCCTCCAATAACTTGATGCAATAGACACTTAGCCAAGAAAGTATAACATTCAACCCTCTGTCATGGATAGAAAGTATGGGCTTTTGAATGGTTGGAATTAGGATGTTTTGCATAGAAGGGTATGTGAATTGTCTTTCTATTCTATTCTAGGGGTATATACTCAAATTTAATATATTAGCAGCAAGCTTTTGTGAGTTTAAAATGGCAAAGGTTATTCATTCTCACACTTGTATCGAACTTAGCAACATCACATTCGGCCTCATATACTGAACACAGATTGGTCGCAAATGATATCCTGTGTGACAGTCCGATGGTTCCTTGAGTGAATTTGATGATTTAAAATTGAAGTGAGGGCTGTATAAAGTGAGGGAATCTCAGCAGCGTCTGTCACCTTCTTTCAGTCTTTTGCAAAAGCACTTATTGAAAGTTCATCATATGACATGCTTGTATTGGTACTGGCAATAAAACCCAGTCATGGAACTTGTATAAGACAGAATGCAACTCACATCAGTCTGCGCAGTGCTAGATTCATGGATAGAAGACTCTTAGAGACATCTGTCAGGTTAGAAAATTGCCTGAGGTGAATCCCACTCAAAATCATCAGTTTAAAGCAACATTTGCTCCCAATGATAGTGTTGATCTATTTCTTGTTTCAGACATTGATGAGTGTCAGACTGGGAACAGCACATGCTCTGCTTTAGCTACCTGTACAAATACTCCAGGGAATTTCACGTGTAGCTGTTTAGCAGGAACAATGGATACCAATCCGGCAAACCCAGGAACACAGTGCAAAGGTAAACACATGAACAGTTTAAACCGGTAGCATTGAGAAAATGAGGAATGTGAAATGTTTCCAATTTAGTCTTGGCGATATTAATATGCAAGTGAATCCTCTATGTGTTTAACTTATTGTCTTTCATTGCTACCTTAAACCATAAGACTGTTAGATGTAGGAGTATAGGTAGGCCATTTGGCCCATGAACCAATCAAGCCTGCTCTGCCATTCAATGAGATCATGGCTGACTGATAGCCTTCAATACCTTTTTCCTGCCATATCCTCATAATGCTCAAGTCCCTTACTAATTAAAAATCTATCTGTCTCATTCTTAAATATATTTAATGAGTCAGCCTCTACAGCCTTCCAAAGTCTACCCCTTGAGAAGAAAACTCCTTTACCATTTTAAAATAAATGGATTAATGACTTGATTAATCCTATAGAGGAAAGTCGAGAAGAGTGTTGTGGGGTCATGAAGTAACCTTTACTCTGCCTGATTGTTTTGATCTGTTTCTTGTTTCAGACATTGATGAGTGCCGGACTGGGAACAACACGTGCTCTGATTTAGCTGTCTGTACGAACACACCAGGGAACTTCTCATGTAGCTGTTTCCAGGGCATTTTAGATTCTAAACCATCAAGCCCAGGCACACAGTGCAATGGTAAATATTTGGGCTGTTTAAAGCAGGAGCGATGAGAATGAGTGTGGAATATAAAAAGGGCAATCTGTAAATAATTTTGGGTTATGTTACTGTGCAAAGGTTTAAGTTGTTTCTGCGGAGATGGTAGTGTAGTTGTATTGTAGTTCAATGAAGAGTGCACGAGAATTTGCCAGAAGCAGCACCTGATATAACTAAAAATATGTTGTCAGTCTGTGGAGGCTATGAATTGCCTGCCAAGTAGCATAAGCATCAAACAATTGGCAGATCTAAGCAATTCCTCAGCCAACAGATCTGATTTAAGGCCTGAAGTCCTGCCACATTCAGTTGTGAATTAATTATCTCACCTGAGGAAGACAATGCTCATAATTATCCCTATCCTCAACGATTTGAGATCCTAGCATGTGGGTGCAAAAGACAAGGTTAAAAGCATTTGCAGAAAACTTCAGCCGGAAGACCTGAGTTGAAAATGTATCCTCGTCTCCTGCTGAGATCCCCAGGATCACAGATAGCGGTCCTTATCCAATTTGATTCACTCCACATGCAAAACGATGGAAGCAGTCATTGATTACTGCTATGAAATAGCACTTATTTCACACTAACCAGCTCACTGATGCTCACTTTGGATTTTGCCAGACCCGTGCCATTCCTCACTTCATTAAAGCTTTGATCCAAACAATCACTAATATTGGCAAATGTCCATTTCATGTGATATCAGTTCTTCGGTTATTAATGATGCCAAAATGGTTTTGACATGAGATTGTCCCTCACAAATTGTAAATTTTTCTCTATTCAGATGAAAACACATCCCACAGAGGATCACACTGGCAGAGATTCTATTTGATAATCAACTAAGATGACATAGGTGGCCTCATGACTAAAATCTTGCTAGGCAAGCCTTTTTGCTAATGTGCATATCAGAAAAAAAAATCAGCCATGTAACTTCCATTGACCAGTATTGCTACATTCTGGAGTATCAGTGAGACACCAGTTGCAGCATTGATCTGTGGGAGACGAATAGGGTTCCCATCAGCTCAAAGCACTGATAATCCTCTTTGAACATGAACTGTTACATATTAAAGCAAGTGACCATATTGTTAATTCTATTTGAACAGCCGTTGCAAATAATCTTGCAACAAATGTTTGGCCCGAGCACAAATAGATAATGGTAGAGCACTGAATGAGACCATTTTTCCCTCTCCGATTATATTGGTTCTGTTCCCCTGCTCTTTCAACCTTGCCCTGAATTTTATTCCAATTTTCAAATCGGGGTATCCTGTCCCCCTACAGACAATGTTTTCCAGATCATAAGAGCTAATTTTTAAACTAAAATTGACTTTGTTGCTTTCATTTTCTCTTCTGTTTTGACTCCACCCGATTTTCTTTAGCCACAACTTGCCACCATTGAAGACCAAAATAGGAACTGCAACTGTCTTTTCAATGCAGAGGTGTTGAGATTGTTGCAACCCTTCAAAGGAACTTATATTCAATGTTGACTGACTTGTCCCTTTGTTTTGTGTTTGCAGATCCAAATGACTGTTTCACCAATGAGGATCCTTGTGCTTTGTTTCAATGCTTGACAAATAATGACTGTCCCAGTAAGTAAATTCACCTTGCCTAGTCTTCCAGTAGAGATTCTTGCTTACCTTGGAGTATGGCATTCTTGCATCAGTTCTGACAAATGCTGGACAGAAAGCTTCAACAGCACACCTCTTTCAGCAGCCATGCGAATATAAGTTGTTGTTATACTTTTTTTAAATTGCAGGGCTGAGAGTTACTTTGGCAAGGTTCCATTACTGATCACCCTTCTGCTTGATCACTCCAATCCTTGTGACAAGTGTCTTCAAACAGTCTTAGTTCTGGAAACTTTTTTGTGCTCTTAGTCATCTCGTGTAAAAACTTGGAAACATTTAAAAAAGTGAAGATTTCTGTTTGAAGGAGTTAATTTCTTATTCACGACAAATAATCAACATAGCACTCCAGCCTTGTCAACGTCTACAAATTAGTTTTTGTTTGAAGGAATTTTTTTAACATATCAACCTGTTTGTGCATGTTGTGAAGCACCTCTTACATCCAAAGGTGGAACCTGAATCTGGCCCTTCTGTCCCAAAGGTAGGGATACTATCACAGCACCACAAGAATCCATTATTTGCCTGCCTTTCCCAATGGCTTTCAGTTTTTAAGAACTGTGAAGCACATTGGAATTTGTTCTTCTAAAAGTGCCATACAATTGCAAATTGTAGAGCTAAGCGTAGTTAACAAAGTCCAAGACACCTTAATGTTTACAAAAGCAAAAAACTGCAGATGCTGGAGATCTAAAACGAAAACAGAAAGTACTGGGAAACTCAATAGGTCTGGCAGCATTTGTGAAGAGACAACCAGAGTTATCAGTCTGAGTCCAATATTTTTGCTCTTATTCAGAACTGTAATTTATCCATTTAAATTCTCATAATTTTCAGGCTGTCAAACGGAAAAAATAAAGTGTAGACAGTTGAAAATGCCCTTACTTCTGAATTAGCAGTTCGCAGAATCAAATCCCATTCCAGGAGTTAGCCACAAAGTCATAGAATCATACAGCACGGAAACAGACCCTTCGCTCCAACCAGTCCATGCCGACCATAATCCCAAACTAAACTAGTCCGACCTCCCTGCGCTTGGTCCATATCCCTCCAAACCTTTCCTATTCATGTACTTATCCAAATGTCAAGTGAATGTTGTAACTGTACCCACATCCACCACTTCCTCTGAAAGTTCATTCCACACACAAACCACTCTCTATGAAAAAAAATTGCCCCCATGCCCTTTTTAAATCTTTCTCCTCTCGACTTTAAAATATCTCCCCTCATCTCGAAATTCCCTAGCTAAGAAACAAACAACACCTGCCATTCACCTTATCTATACTCCTTGTTATTTTATACAACTCTGAAAGGTCACCTCCCAACCTCCTACACTCCAGTGGCAAAAGTCCCAGCTTATCCAGCCTCTCCTCATAACTCAAACCATCTGTTCCTGGCAACATTTGGTAAATCTCTTCTGAGCCCTCTCCAGCTTAATAATATCCTTCCTATAACAGGGAGACTGAAACTGGACACAGTACTCCAGAAGGGGCCTCTTAATCCAGTTGTGGGGGAAGGTTTCACAAGTTAAATACAGTATGCTCGATTATGTGACATTTCTTTGGTATATTCACCAGTGCCTGTTCATTTTAAACAACTGATGTTACATGTAAGATAATACAATTTGACGACAGTTTGATTTCCATTCACTAACCATGAACCTTGCCAACAATAAAAGCAATAACAGGTGGAAGTGGGTCAAGCTGCTGTTATCGACAGAAACTGAATCAAGATGATCAGCTCTTGTGAAAGGTCACTCAATCCGAAACATTAACTCCGTTTTTCTCTCCACAGTTGCTACCGGGCCTGCAGGGTATTTCCAGAAATTTTTGTTTCTGTTTGATATTTCGAGCAGTATTTTGATTTTGTAACAGGACAATGGGTTGGGGCTGGTAATAAAATGCAATTATACAAGAAAATTCCTCATCTCAATCTCTTAGCAGTTTGTTCCAACACAAATTGAGCAATAGCTGGTTGATGAATGATTGCTTGATTATTGTTTTTCTAGCCAGGAGAATGTTCAAGACAATCATTATATTAAAGTCCAAGAATTTCACCAATGATCTAAGAAATCCAGCGAGCGAAGCATTCCTCAATTTATCATCTGAAATTAGAAATGCAGTAAGTGAAACAATGTCTTGCTTTCTTCCTGCTATTACAATAAGAAACTTGTTTCACAGTTCAAATGGTGGAGTTATTCAGATAGGATTCAGCCAGAAGAGTTTGGCCAGGTTGGGGAAATTTGGAAAGCAGATTGGGGAAGGAAGAAGGAAGAAGGAAGAAGGAATGTAATAAACTTATGTTCACATTTCGTACAGCCTTATGAGATGTTGGCAAGGCTACATTTGGAGTACTGCGTGCAGTTTTGGTTGCCCTACTACAGAAAGGCTATTATTAAACTAGAAAGAGTGCTGAAAAGATTTAATAGGATGCCACCTGGACTCGAAGGTTTGAGTTATAAGGAGAGGTTGGATAGGCTGGGACTCTTTTCCCTGGAGCATGGGAGACTGAGGGATGACCTTATAGATGTATATAAAATCATGAGAGGCACAGATTAGGTCAATAGTGGACAGTGTTTCCCCATGATAGGGGAGTCTAAAACTAGAGCACATAGGTTTAAGGTGAGACGGGATAGTTACAAAAGGGTCCAGAGGGGCAATTTTTTCACGAAGTGGGTGGTGAGTGCCTGGAATGGGCTGCCAGATGTACTAGTGGAAGCGAGTACAATTTTGTCATTTAAAAAACATTTAGACGTGTACATAGATGGGATAGGTATGGAGGGATATGGACCAAACGCAGGCAAACGGGGTATAGTTTAAGTTGTGAAAACTGGACAGCATGGGCAAGATGGACCAAAGGGCCTGTTTTTCATGCTGTTGACCTCCATGACTTTATGACTCCATACAAATGGCTTGCATTCAGTATGAATGTTGGATATATGTACTCTTGGATGTCCTAACTTTTGGTTCATTTAGATGTGTTTTATCATCTAAAGGGCATCACTGATAAACTAATGAGATAGGGAGGAGAGGTGGATAATATGGAGTAAAGGGCTAACGTAAATCAGTCAGTGATATAGCTGACAACATTATAACGATATAGAGTGACACTCAGAAAGAAGAGTCTCTGAAGTAGAAACTGAGAAAAAAGCAACACTCCATGATAAACTATGATAATAGATACAGGGTGAACAAAGAGCTGGAATTCATTCATTATGCCCACATCCAGACAAGCATTACCAACTAAATCAACACTAAGGAGACTGGGACAAACCAAATCTAAGATAAAAGGCAGATTGTACCATGGTGCAGAATTTTCTTCTATGGCCAATGCCATCCTAAACCTGTTAATGCCAGCGATAATCTGAAACTTGCCCAGCCATTCCATCAGTAAGCAAAGAAAAATGGAATTTTGATCTATTTCCTCAGAGTCAATATGTGAAGGAGTTCCTTTTCACTTGCTCGTACAAGGAGGAAGTAAAAAATAGAGTTCGAGCTTACATGTCACATATGCTGATGCCTTGTAAAAATTTGACTTCATAAAATATGAAGTAATCCAACAGCTAAAATTCAATTTGTTGTCACTGTATTATTTACATGGTAATGAATATAATGGGGAGAAAGCTGGAATGGTCAATTAGATAGATGAATTCATCCTAAATATATTGTTCAAGCCATTTAAAATTGAGCTTGCAAGATACATAAATGCGTCTAGTAGTTTTTGTTTATTCACATAAATTCATTCAACAATGTTTTAGGATCAGAAGCGAGTCCTTGTCAAATTTTTGGTCGTCTCCAAGGTTAGGCTCTACCTGATGAGCTGCAAACTGACTGAAGCTGAGAATGTGTTAGCAATCAGGGAGCATAGAGAAAGCTTTTGGGCTTAGATATTGTTTGTGCAAAATCATTCCAATCTTTATTTTGTGTCATTGAAAACTAGCTGTGCTTGAAAATATTGGATGCTGTGTCGCTCTACTTCTAAGTTAGAAGGCCTGGAGAAAGTGAATTGTTTGATAAATTTGTTAGAATAAAGAGGCTTTCTTCAAGACTGCCTCTGAAAACAGGCCCTTGAACAGATTAAAGAAAGGTTGAACATCTATTGAATGATCCTTCTCAAATACCTGGGCCACCCTAAGTTGAGCAGACCTCAGGCAACTAAAAGGATAGGCAAAATCTACTTTCAGAGTGGAGACTGGATGAATAGGAATGTTTCTCCTATCTCTGCTGTACCACTGATGTTCAGTCCCTGCTTCAGTGCAATCTCCCTTGCCCCCACCCTTCAATCCCCACCCCTTCAGCTACCTTCCCTCCACCTCGAGGTATTAACTTGAGGATAGCCACTGGTGAAAAGAACAGCTTCCTAAAGTGGTTGAGGTGGGATAGCTGCCTTGCGCTTCTCACTTCACACAGAGGGCAGAAGCAGTTTAAATTCTTCCCTGCAAACTTTTCAAAACAGAGATCACTGAGTGCTTTGTTCTTGCCATATCACCCAAAGTGAAACCTTAACGCATCAAGGTGACTCAAACATTGTAGCTTCTTCTGAATAATTGTCTTCATTGGAAAGAGTTGGATAAACCCAAAAGGTCTGGCAGCATTTCTGAGGAGAAAAACCAGACTTCATATCTATTTAGCAATTAAAAGTAATTGGATTAATAATGAGGTCTGGCCTGTGTGAAACAGCAGAGAATAAACTGATGGGATTCTGTCCTGTTCTGTATTGTTTATGGACATAGAAAAGATGTTGGAGATAAACTGGAATCATGATATTGGCTCAAGCTCCTGTCACTGTCCCAAAATACTCCACAATGTCAGTGAGGGCATTAGATGGGTAGAATTATGCATGTATGGAATGAGCTGCCAGAGGAAATGGTGGAGCTTGGTACAATTACAGCATTTAAAAGGCATCTGGATGAGTACATGAAAAGGAAGGATTTAGAGGGACACGGGCCAAATGCCAGCAAATGGAACTAGATTAATTTAAGATATCTGGTCTATGAGTTGGACTGAAGGGTCTGTTTCTGTGCTGTACAGATCTATGACTCTAATTAGATGATACCCACTCTCATAACTATGTCAGTTGATGTTTGCTTACACAGGGAAAATAACACTTGTTTTTCTCCTTTGTAGGTTGTACAACCTGTACAAACCGCATTGCAGGATAACACGTTTAATATCACCATCTTTGGTTTTCAAAATGGTAGTGTAGTGGCGAATATCCTGTCTTCCTTGAATAATGCTTCAAACATCACAGATGCTACTCTGCAAATGGCCATTGTAGCTGCAATCAGAACAGTTGATTCTCAAGCTACTGTCAATGTAACAGGTAGGGATAATGATCATCATGTCCGCCATTATCATCTATTTTTATTATTGTGCTCTTTTAATTGCTAACCTAAATTGTATGTAAACTGTTGTGGAAGGCTGTTCAACTGCCTGTAATATAGTTAAATGGTAGAGGGAATGTTGGCATCTCAGAGATCTTTTGAACCCCTTAGGAACCACCCTGGAACAATTTCAGGGCTGACGTTTAAAATAGGTTTGGAACCACTCACGTTTAAAAAAAAACAACTGGGCATTACTTAATCTGGTTCATTACGACAGGAAGGATGGCAGATGGGCAAGCTTAACTAGGGACAGGCTGTACATTAGTTTTGCCTTGATGGCAAATCCTCCCGCAGTTTAGTCGGAGGTGTGAAGAGGCAGATATGTCAAACCATCCTGATTGCAATGGGATTTCAATTAGGCTCATTAGTGAATTGATTACCACCCATTATCCCCATCACATGGGACAACATGCAGGCTCAGGGAGTCGCCCATGGCCTCCCTGTCAGGTTTATCAATGACCTACTGGGGGTCCCATATCATCAGGTCTGCTACCCCAGTGAGAGATCTAACATTGGAAAGGGGATAGTGTAGGCTGTTAATGTCCACTCCTCTCCATTTGTCTCCAATCCATCCTGCGCACCCTTGTATCAGAACGCCTTGAAAGGGCCACAGTGGTCGCACATGGAAATTAAATTTTCTTGCCTTTGTATTCCCCTGTTCTCACCACCTCTGGGATCAGCTGCTCTCTGGCCCATTGATCCATGCTGTGCGGAATTTGGCAGGTTTTCAGCGTTCCAAAGCGAGCCACATTGGTGTTTGACCATGGAGCTTACCAACAAAGGCTCAATGACACGAGAATCTGAAGATACTTTCGGCACAAAACATCAGCCTTCCTGCTCCTCTGATGCTGCTTGTCCTGCTGTGTTCATCCAGCTCTACACCTTGTTATCACAGTGAAGAGGGATACCATTTAGATCATCTTGTCCATGAATTTCAGCCTATTTTTTCACCCCATTAGAAAAATTCCATTTCAGAAATATACGCCTACATAAAGAATGACCAAAGTTTCCTTTATTTATTGTTTTGTTGTCATTTGAGTTGAGGCTTTAGTCGAGTTAAACTTTGGATGGACTGTAATAGTGTTGCACATCAGAGGCATACAGTATGATGGAATTGATTTCTTTATCGGAAAAGCAATATGTGTTCTTCTGTGGAGTGCTGGAATTTTGGGCAAATGGGAATCGACGGGGCATATCCTCTGCACTTTATAATATCAAATTAAAATATGATCATCAAAGTCATGAAGCAAAAAACCAGTTTTCTCTGTAAGGTTTTATGTGCGATCATGAATAGGGTGATCTACAGTGTACTACTGCATGGTTGTCTGTTTTTAACCATTTACAAGTAGTCCTGTGTTTACCATTTCCACAGATATTTTGCATATTATGCTCTCTCTTTCACCTTACAATGAATTTCTTAGTCTAATTTGAGTAGGTTACAGGAGAAATTGTCCAGATGGATTGGCTATGGCTTTTTGTTGACTGGGAAATGCTATGCCCTGTGGGTAAGCAGCTCTTAAATGGCTCCTAGTGTCCATAAGAAGAAAAGAGTACATTACAACAGTGAACTTTATTGATCATAGCACACTGCAAGCACCTACAAGCCCAATAGATGTAGGATTAGAAGCAGGCCATTCAGCCCAGTGATCTCACTTTGCCTTTCAGTGAGACCATTGCTGGTCTGATAATCCTCTAATCCATTTTCCTGCTTTACTCCCATAATCCTCAATTCCCTGACTGTTTAAAAATCTGTCCAACTCAGCCTTGAACATACTTAATGACTCAGACTTGACAGCCTTCTGTGGTAAAAAATTCACTATCCTCTGAGAAAAGAAATTCATCTTCATCTTTGTCCTTGCAAATCTTGCTTAGGTGTTGATTCTCTCCAGTAGTATAGCGTTATAACATGACCTCTCTGTAACAGTCTGCACTCTATGCGTTACCTAATAAGTAAAAACATTCTACAATCCATTAGTTTTTCGCTTTACAAAAATTATCTCACATGCTGTTGTCTATTAACCTATAGGGAACATGTCCTGATTATAAGTTATCTTATTTTTGAGCCAATGTGGTCATTCTATCTTGTTATTTTGGTTTGTCTTTATCACATTGACAGCCCAGTTGAATTGCTGCAGGTCTTATACTCAATGTCACAACTTATCCAATTTCAGGTACTCCACAAGTAACGACTCTGGCTCCCACTACATCTCAGACTGTGTCCACTTTGCAGGCTCCAGCAGACAATTCTGGGTTCCGAGTGGCTGTGATAGTGCTGGGAGTTATCCTCGGTGTGGCTCTGCTACTAATCCTAGCAGGAATACTGGCAATGGTTTGCATGAAGAGAAAATCTGGTCAGTACCTCATAAGTGGTTCAGACATGCTCCAGAGGTACAACTATGCAAACATGTAGTGCATCACATCAAACCTCTAATGGCCCCTTTTCTCAGAGGCTTACATCGTTTTTGAAACAAACCTTCCGCAATATCAAAAATGCAGGGAACAGAAATATTACTGGCAAGAAATATAGTATAATCATCCATGGAAAGAAATGACAGGTCCTTGTCTCTCATTCATTTTGATATATTTATTTCTAAACGGATTGATCTGTGATTGGGAGAACATATCAGATTTTATTCATGCTATTAATTCATGAAATGGGGTGTGGAATCACAACTGACTTCACAGATTAGGAAATTAGACACCGACAAATCATAATGTTCTATCTGCTAAAATTTAAAGTAGCCAGGAGCTCTGTGCAACCTTTCCAAGAATCATATTTTATTACTTAGTTCCTCTTTGTGCATCAGACATTCAGGCACATTCAAAAAGTTTTCAGAATTACAATGCTTAATGTTAACTGAAGGGAACCACAGATAGCTCAATATAATAAGAAATGTTTTAGCATTTGACTCATAATATATCCTTGAATTATATTTCCAACAGTTCCGAAATGTTTGAAGGGAGATTTTAAACCTGATGTGAATGAAGGAACAGGTTATGGAAATTGTTCTGGGTGGGTGTTCTCTTGCATTAGGCTTGTCATCTGTCATTCCTTTATTGTTGGAGTACTGATCATTTTCCAGAAATTGCCAACTCCAGGGGATGGTGTGGTGCAGAAGGGTTAAGCGGGGTTATAGCTGTGCTAATTCCAGCATGTGTACCAAATTTACATAGCTGTGTGCACCATTGTACCTCACACGTTGCTGAAAGTTAGCATTGTACCAAGATTCCAGGATAAGGTACACAAAATGGACTGAAGCATCTCCAGTCTGCAAAATGCTTAAATTCTCATGTGGTCAAGGTTTGCCAAATGCTTTACAGTGATTTTTTGTTGCTTGTGCCAGAAGTGATTCGTGCAAGGAGAATGATCGACTTCAGGGTCTGTCCATTTTTATAAACACACAAGTGCCAGTTGAATACAAGGCCACGTTCAGTGTTTTGATTTGCATTTGTTGCACTGTTTCTGAAAAGAAAATTCTGTCTATTTTAAAAAAAAAAGTCAAAATGTACTGCACTTTAAAACGTATTGAATGTTTCCTCAGGTCACTATAGGCAGAAGTGTAAATGGCAGGGTTGTGGAGAATTAAAATTGACAGCTTAGGAAGTTTTTAACATATGAGCGCACAGAGCTGCTTCCCTCCTGAAAAGAAAGGTTTGTGTTCTGGAGCCTAACTGTCAGACTCTGCCTTCACTGTTTTACAAGCGATTTCCTGTTCTTTGGAAATTACCTCACTGGTTCATCTTGAACTGCAACCTGCCAACACCCTCCACAGCAACACGGGAGCATCTTATGTACTTTGAGTTTGAGCCTCTGATGAAGAATAAGAGAAGCAGCATCAGCAATCCAGTCTGGGTCCCTTTTCCATTCGGGGGTGCATGTTCTCATCACCCCTGTGTGCTGTGAATGTTCCAGAAACCAGGAAGTGGGACTCGTGTGCACCTCATTGCAAAGATAGGTCTGCTCACCAAAGGGCTCTTGACCCACTCACAGCTTCCCTACTGTCAGGTAAAAGCAACATTGTGAACTTCTAAGTCAGGTTATGTCAAATCCCAGTGTCTATCAATAACCTTATTACAGTGAGTGAGCATAGGGAATCTCAATTATTCTCATCTGTCTCACAGTACAGAAAATGCTGCTTAAATTGGGGAGATATCATACACAGATTGCCTTATTAAATAATATCTCTTGCAATAATCTTTCTGCTATAACAAAATAACAATGGATTATGATCTACATTACATAATCTAGTAGATAAGGTTATAATAAATCATGATTTTAAAATGTTGTCGGTGCCCACAACGTTTAACATATAGACTGAGGGAGGAGAATGAAGCAATGCTCTCTATTAATGTATTATGCACTGTAATTATTTATTCAATTGTTGAAATAAGCTGAATATGCATTGCTTTTCCATGTCTTTGAAATTATTATAATACATTCTTCTATAAATAAAAATACATTACTTATCAAACAGTATGGAGTTTGTATATCTGATTCCATTCAAATGCATCATTTGAACGTCTTATCTTTTTTTATTCACTCATGGAATGAAGGCATCATTGGCTAGGCCAGCGTTTATTGCCCATTCCTAATTGCCCAGAAGCCAGACCACATTAGGGCAACAGATCTCATTCTCTAGAGATCATCAGTGAACCAGATGGGTTTTGTTGACAATTGGCAAAGTCTTCATGGTTATCATTAGATTCTCAATTCCAGATTCCTTGTTGAACTTAAATCCCAGCATCTGCCGTGGCACGATTTGAACTTAGATCCATAGCATATCCGCTGAATTTCTGGATTAATAGCTGAGATCATCGTAGAATCCCTACAGTGTGGAAACAGGCCCTTCAGCCCAACAAGTCCACACCGACCCTCAGAGCATCCCACCCAGACCCATCTGCCTATAACCCACCTAATTTATGCATCCCTGAACACTATGGGCAACTTAGCATGGCCAATCCACCTAGCCTGCACATCTTTGGACTGTGGGAGGAAACCGGAGCACCCAGAGGAAACCCATGCAGACATGGGGAGAATGTGTAAACTCCATACAGACAGTCGCCCGAGGGTGGAATAGAACTCGGGTCCCTGGCGCTGTGAGGCAGCAGTGCTAACCACTGAGCCACCGTGCCGCCCATTATCCATGGATATTCTAGCGTCACCCTTGAGTAAGAAGACAAAAATATAAGAAATAGGAACAGACAAAGGCAGTATGTCACCTTGAGAGTGTTCTACTATTCAATTGAAATACAGCTGATCTGATCTTAGTTACAATGACTATTTGCTGCTTGTTCCTCTAATTTGTTTCTTTCTAGTTAAAAAAAATCCCTATATTAATTGCAGACACATTGAATGACTCCGCCTACACACAGGGTTCAGAAGAGATTTACGACGATGTTGCCAGGTACGGAAGGTTGAGATATAAAGAAAGGCTGCAACAATTTTCACTCGAGCGTAGGAAGTTGAAAGGTGACCCTACAGATGTTTATAAAATCATGAGATGTATAAATAGGGTTAATGGTAGTTGTCTTTTCCCGAGGATGGGGCATTTCAAGACTAGGGGGCATATATTTAAGGTGAGAGGAGAGAGATTTAAAAGAGACATGAGGGGCAAATATTTTATACAGGGGCTGGTTCATGTGTGGAATGGACCCTTGAAAAAGTGGTGGATGCGGGCACAGTTACAATGTTAAAAAGACACTTAGATAAGTACATGAATAGGAAAGGTTTGGAGGGATATAGGCCAGGCGCAGGCAGGTTGGACTATGTTAGTTTGGGATTATGCTTGGCATGGACTGGTTGGACTGAAGACTCTGTTTCTGAGCTGTATGACTCTGTGACTATGACTATAAGAAGCTCCTTCAAATGAAATGGATGATTCCTTATCGAAGGGTTTTGCCTCTGATGCTCTATCTGGAAGTTAATTCCATTCATCTGGGTTCCCTCAAAATAGTCCTCAAATAACCTTTAATCAGTTTGAACAAGAGAAAGAATACTAGAACTAAGAAGTGGGTTTTTTTTATTCATTCACAGGATGAGGGCATCACTGACTGGGCAGTATTTATTGCCCATCCCTAATTGCCCTGAGGACACTTACAAGTCAACCACATGGCTGTGGGTCTGGAACCACATGTAGACCAGACCAGGTAAGGATAAGAGCCAGATGGGTTTTTTTTTTTCACCTGACAATTGACAATGGATTCATGGTCATCATTAGGCTCTTAATTCCAGATATTTATTGAATACAAATTTCACCATCTGCTGTGGCGCAATTTGAACCCAGGTCCCCAGAACCCAGATTAATTGTCCAGCGATAATACCACGAGGCCATTGCCTCCCCTTATCTGTTACTTGTAATGGAAAATTGGTCAAAATTGGAGCTTATTTCTTCAAAAAATGGTAGACGGAGGTATGGCTTGTTAGAAGTCTTGAAAGTTATGAAAGGATTTGAACCTTCAGGTGTAGACGAGTTGTTTCTACCAGCAAACCAGAATAGAACTAATGGACACAAATGTAAGCTGATCAATGGGAAATGTAACATAAATTGTTTTATTCACTTGTGCATGCAAGGGAAAGCTGGGTAAGCACATTGGCAGTCAAGTTATTATCTTTATTATGACAGAACGTTTTTCAATGCAAGATTTTGAATCATTGTTTCACCAAACTCTTTGACAGTAACAAACCTTCTCACTCTGGAAAAAAGCTACATAAAGCTGCCAATGTGCATGAACCCCATAAAATCAATTACAAACAAATATACATAATCACAGAATCCCCACAGTGCAAAAAGAGGCCATTTGGCCCATCAAGACTGAACTGGACCCCTGAAGAGCTTCCTGTCCAGACCCAGTACCCCACCCCTGCATTTACCATGTCTAATCCACCTAGCCCACATGCCACTGGATTCTACAGCGCAATTTAGCATGGTCAATCCAGCTAACCTGCATAGGTTTGGACTGTGGGGGGAAACCAGAGCACACAGTAGAAACCCACACAGACACAGAGAGAACATGCAAACTGCACAAGGTCACCTAAGACTAGAGTTGAACCCAGATCCCTGGTTCTATGAGGCAGCAATGCTACCCACTCTGCTACCACGGCACACAGATGCATGTGTGTAAATACAAATTTTCTCAAAAGTGTGGCCTTGTGTCTGGTTTATAGTTACAAAATCTGGCAATCTAACTGGGAACTGTTTCCTCCAGAGTTGGAAAAGCAGGCTTACATCTCATAGACTGAATTTTGTTCAGGAATGAGCAGTGTATTACATTGAAAAAAACTGAAAGAACTGCAGATTCTGGAAATCAGGAACAAAATCAGTTCTAAGGAAGGGTCACCGAACCCGAAATGTTAACTCTGATTTTTTCTTCACAGATGCTGCCAGACCTGCTGAGCTTTTCAAACAACTTCTGTTTTTGTTCCTATTTCATTGAAATCTGCCTGCTATAATTTCAGCATTGATCTTCAAAGAAAGCAACTTCCTAATTAACCAGTTGTAGAGCTGGATGAACACAGCAGGCCAAGCAGCATCAGAGGAGCAGGAAGGCTGACGTTTTGGGCCTAGACCCTTAACTAACCTTGTTCCGTGGCAAAGTCCTTATACAGGATTCAGGTTTCATAGTAACATTGGGTGTGATTTTGTTGCAAGGCCACAGGTCCAGCTCAGGGTGCCAGTCAAGGATGCCATTTCCACTCAGGCATCCAACAGCCAGCAGGATCTGAACATAGTGCAGTAAGCCATTTCATTAATTAAGATGCTGATGGCAGCTCCACATTGGATTATCAGCCCAACATTCACTGCTCCCTGGATTAAAGCAGTGACTACCTGTCCCGGTGTAAGTCCCCTTGAGTTCACTGACTAAATTCAATGTTCGTCTAGTTCCCTGACTGGGCTCCAGGCCCCTCTAGTTCCCTGACTGGA